GTCTGGCAGACCCCGTAAAACACCCACCCGTCTTGGCTTAACTAGTCAGCTCTGAAGTTTGGCAGAAAGGAAAAGGCTGAAGGAACATTTCTGTGCTTGCAGCTCAAACCTGTGCCACTGACACCACTGGTTCCCCCGTGCTCCTGGAAACTGGGGTCTTCTAGGTCAGAGCTTTCTGGAACAGGGACAACCAGCCTGGCCATGTATTCGAAAAACCCTGCAAAGCACTAGGATTCCTGCTTGCACATGTCTTCCTGACCAGATTTGCCCATGGATGAAGGGAACTGGCTGTGGCCATGCCAGGCTCTGTCCTGTGATGGGGAGAATATGCCACCCCAGCTTTTCACCACTCTGCTCCCTACCTCCACACTATTCCCCTTGACTCTCCTGGAGTATAGGGTATGGATCTGAGTCCACAAGCATGTTTGGGTTTCACGACTACCCTTGGAGGGAGCAGTTCCCTCTGGGACCCCCCCCCCCAGCAGATTGAGGACCGAGGAGCTCATGGCCCCTCTGGGACATAACATTCCTAAGAGGTACAGTAAGGAGTCATTAGGTCTCAATTAGAGGCAGGCAGAGCAGAGTGGTCACTCCACCCTCTCTCTCCCCACCCAAACTCAGGTGTTTTCATTTGCTACTTACTGTTTGTTGCAAGAAACAAGGTCTTAATCTTGGAGGTTTGGAAGTTGCCTTTTGGATTGGATGTGGAATTGCAGATCACCCCCCCCCCCCATGGAGTTTTCTTGTGTAACTGTCCTAGCTGTCCTGAAACTTGCTTTGTAGATCAGGCTGGCCTCAAACTCACTGAGATCCACCTACCTCTGCCTCCCAAGTGCTGGGATTAAAAGCATGTGCCACCACCAGCTGGCAGGATTGCAGATCCTGATGTCTTGTTTCATTTACTGCCTAGGGAGACCAGAGTTCTTCCTTTCTGGCTTACAGGTGGTAGCTTGGGCCCCAAGCTCACTTGGAGGCTGCATGTGGAGCACATGCTGAAATTCCTGCGCGGTAAGGGCTTAGAGGCCCGTCTACGGGGCTCTGTTAGTAATGAAGACCCTAGGACAGCCTCCGCAGAGGGATGCTAGCTGCCATCCCCAGGTGCCTTGTGGTGCTAGTTATGTAGCAGGATACCAACACTTGGGGTTCCCAGAGCTGCCACATAGGAGGCTGTAGAGACAGGACAGATGCTGTCAGATGGTACCCCAGAGGGGCCTTATGAGATGCCAAGAGAGATTAATAGGGACCTTGGCAGCCCTGTGTGCAAAAGAATGGGATAGTAGGGGTTCAGGGATTCTACAGAATTCCACCACAGCCATAGAGATGTTTGGGCTCTGGACTGGGGTGAGCCTAACATTTTCTCTGCTGGGGGCTACTAGTTCTTCTTTGGTTTATTGTAAAGAACTTTGTAAAAGTTAATCTAGCTCAAATGGCCCTTGAGTATAAGATCTGATGACCAAGTGGCTACCTTAGCTAATAGGGTAAGAAAAACATATTTACGGAATGACATCTCCCATCAGAACCCCCTGTGACCTTGGGTGTCCTGTTAGACCGGGGATAGTAATAAGGGGCAATGCTTGGTCAGGGAAGCCCAGTCATCTCCAGTACCCTGGTGTTCCTGTCTGCAGACAGCCGTCATAAGTGACAGCTGATTCTAACTCCACAAGGTCCTCTTTACCTGCTGAGCAAGTCCCTGACTGACTCACTGGTCCTGTGTAGGGCAGACTCTACAATGGTCACGCCTCCCAGCACCCCAGCAGCAGGATTAAGAAGGAACACAGTCTCGACCTTTAGGAATCGTGTTTGTCCTAAACCAAACTAGCTTGTGGTGGCTGTAGGAAGGGCAGAGAGAGTCAGGGTTGGGGAAGCCCCAGCTACAGGGTATGACATGAGACAAAAGGACTGAGGTGGGCAGAGTGTTCTCAGCATTTAGGTGACTTGGCGTAATCTTGGGCCTCACTGGCATTAACTGTAAAGACCTATGATGGGACCTGGGCTGTGTGCTCACTTGTATCTGAAGCTACTCTGCTCCACCTCCCAGGACTGAAAACCAGCACACACCACACTTGGAGTTGTAGCCTCTCTTCCTACCCAACCCTAGCTGGTAGACCGGTAGACCCTTTACCTCCAGGGAATTGGAAGCACCGCTGGTTCTATATCATGTGTGTGAGATAGCACAGAGGCTTATAGACTGCAGAAGTTCACAGCTCACTGGTGAGACTGGACATCCAAGATCGGGACCCTGAAAACTCTGGTACGGGGGTGAGGTGGACTGCACTATGCTTAAAAGCACCACACTCACCCAGTTTGTAGTACGTACCTTAGCATGGGAGATAGCCTGTCACCAGGAGAGAACAAAGTTGGGTGGTCGGATTGGCCTATGTGTAGGGCCCTGCCTCCTTGCTTACCACCTCTCTGTCTCTCACTGTTCTAGGGTACTTGTTTTTAACTAGAAAAGAAAAAAAGGCTGGGATGGTGGTGTACACCTTTAATCTCAGCACCCAGAAGGCAAAGGCAGGCAGGCAGGCAGGTCTATCTCTGAGTTTACAGTCAACCTGCTATACACAGTGAGTTCCAAGCCAGCCAGGGCACAAAATGGGACCCTGTCTCAAACAAAAAAAATTAATTAATATGTGCATGGTGCTCTGCCTGCATGTATGCACAACATATACCAAATAGGACAGAAGATCCCTTGGGATTGATTGGTGTTACAGATGCCTGTGAACCACCACGTGGTTGCTGGGAATTGAACCCTGGTCTTCTGGAAGAACAGCCAGTGCTCTTAAACAGTGAGCCATCTCTGCCTAGCTCCAGTGTTCTGGGGTTTTTCTTAACTTTACCAATCAAAAAGAAGGAAATGGATCCCAACTTAAGCATGTTAATGGTCAGTGCGGCCCAAGGGTAGTTTATTGTCCTGGCCTTTGCTAGAGCCTTTGGAGACAGGTAGGGATGTAAAAGGCTTGAATCTGTTGCCTCTTCTGTGGCATGAGTTCCTGAAGTGTGGGCAGGGAAGGCCCCATTTTTATGCCCATGATGGCTTTGTACCGTTACAGTCTTTTTTGCATTCCTATCAGAGATCTGCCTGAGGTTATTTTGACTTAGAAAACAGTAAGGCCTAGCTCTCTGCTCTCCTAAGTGAGGGCGCCTCCCATAGACATGCTTGGGTACCCCCCTAAGCCTGTTCAAGCTTCAAAACCACATCTTTTTGTTGATTTGGGGATTATAGTTTATGTTCAATAAAATGCACCAAAACTGATTTGATGCATTCTGAGAGCACCCACCAAGTCACAGCACCCTCTGGCTGCCTTTCACTTGCTTGAATGTGCAGATGGCAACCTGCAGCATGTGCTCTTTGGGCAGTTGAGATTCATCATATTGCCTGTGTCCATAGCTCTTCCTGGTTGTGCTGAGGTAGGCAGACTGATAGACCCTGGGTGTCCACACTCTACCCCACCCTAGGCCTTGGGCTGGACCATTTAGAGGCTCTGTGGACATTGTCCTGTTTTATTGAGCTTGGGAAGCTGTAGTTAGAGTTACACTGTGGTGTGTTATGTGTCCTCCATGTATGGGCTCCTTGGCTTGAGACCACTCTTATGAGCCGTCTCCCATGAATTACACTGGGGCAAGCCTGTCCTCCCTCTCCCTGCAGAAGCTATGCCATCATTTTCAGTGAAAACTGAATTCCTTCTTTGTAAAATCATAAATTAGAAGAGTTTGATCCAGGTCCACGGTCCCACATCCACCAATCTCCAGTTGGATCTTCCTAAGGCCTTACTGACATAATCACACATACACACACACACACTCATATACATAGACATGTACACTAATGTGTCTACCCATATACTTGCTTACACATGATCAGACTTATGCCTGTACAGTACAGTACAGTACAGGCATGCAAAATTCATGCATATACAAGAACAGATATCTAGGTGTGTGCATATACCTGTACAGTGCCCATGAAAATAAAACACATGTACAGTGCACATACACAGGCAGCTTGTGTAAGCATGTCTGTGGCCGATGCATGACATCTCATAATTGATCCCTTTTTGAAGCAGTGTCTGAGGTCTGTTCAGAAATGTACTAGGTGGATACGGTCGTCGACACAGACACAGCCTAGCATTGCCTGTCGTGGTGGAGTGTCAGGGCTTCTGTCACAAGGGCACCCTGATCCCGTTCACCACAGCTTCACACATTTCTTCATTGCCCACAGATCAGTTTGCCTGTGCCATCACATTAAGAGTTTCAGTGTTCCAAACTGCAAAGTCCTTCAGAGTACGGGCCCTGCATTCATTTCCATGTCCACATTCTCATCCTAACTACTTGCACAGATGCGAGTGCCTGCTCAGTTCAACATATGCAACTATGTTTTTCTAGGAGAAATGGAAAGAGAACCATAGATCCCCTCAGAGTGGTCACATGTCTGGCCAGTCCCAGACACTGAGAATGAATGGTTGTACCACAGCATGTGAACAGGCACATCTCCCACCTGGTACCTAGTATGACCAACTATGACCCACAGCTGAATGTATCCCAAGATAGCTATGAATGTAGCCTGGCACATTTGTAAATGACATAGTCAAGCCACAATGTCAAAGGGTTGCATATCCATGATGGTTCTTTTTCCCTCTCTAATTCTCTTGGTGTTGACACTGTGCTGTCAGTGGACAAGAGGGATACACAGTAAGGACTCTCCTCCATTCTCTGCCTTCAGCCTGTGCATGAGACCCAGCAGAGCCCTGAGCACAGAGATGAGCCAGCCTGGTGGCATTCTCAGCTCATTTCACGACAAGGCTGTCATGCCCCATTTTGAGGAAGTCCATTGCTCTAAGCAGAGAGGAGCAATATGGACATTGTAAGCATGTGTGCACACTGCCAAGTCTAGAACTAAGTGTGTCTTCCTCAGAAGTGTGCAGTACACCAGGGATTGGGTTCTGCTGGGGTGATGGGTAATAGTCGCTCCCAGCTCAGCCTGTTAGCCTCTTCTCTCTCCTCAGGCATCTGTGGGCTCTGAGAAGCTCTTTGCCCCGGCACCTGACAAAGGTGAGTGCATCCCCAGCCCAGCTCCTGGGTCTCAGGTTGTAGAGACTCAAGAGCAGTAGGAGCCTCGGGTGGGCTTGTTTATCTTATTGGGTAGGGATGGTGGTCAAGATGCAGTGGGGCAAAGAGAAATAAGTAGTCTTAGTGTAAGAGCCAGCTTCCACTGCCCACTGCAGGAATCAGTGCATGCATGTGTGGCTGCATGGATGTATGTTAATGCATGCTGCAGCCAAGGGAGTAAGTAGAAGTTGGACAAGTATCACCCTTGGCAAGTCCTTATAGAACCTTAATCTTGTCTACAAAATGGGGTTATAAGAGCTGGGCCTAGTGGCAGCTACTCGGGAAGTTGAGGTAGGAGGATTAAAGAGTGAGTTCAAGACCATCCTGGGTGACTTAAAGCAGTCCTGTCTCAAAATAAAGTCAAAGAGGGCTAAATAGATGGTTCAGTAGTAGAGTACTCCCTTAGAACGTTCAAGACAACAGTGAGATGGCTCAGTGTTCGGGTGCTGCCAAGCTTGAAGACCTGAATCCTCGTGACAGGAGAGAACTGACTCCCACAAGTCATCCTCTGAGCTCCAAGTGTGCACCATGGCATGTGCACACACAAGCTCATGTGCACAGTGTGAAGAGGAAAAGGGGAACCGGACACTGCACCTGCCTTTAGTCCTAGCACTTGGGAGGCAGGCGCAAGAGATATCTTGTGTTGAGGCCGGACTGGTCTACAGAGCAAGCTCCAGGACTATATAGGGAGACCCTGTCTCAAGATAGTGAGAGAGAAGGGGCAGGAGAAATGGCTCAGTGGTTAAGAAATTATACTGCTCTGTCAAAGGACTGGAGTTCAGGTTCCAACACCCACATCCAGCAGCTCACAAATGCCGGTAACTCCAGCTCAAAGAGATCCAGTGCCTCTAATCTACCTCAGACCCTTGCACATATCCATACAAAGACATAATTTTAAAAATAATTATTTTAAAAGAGAAGGAGGGGGGCTGGGGAGATTAAGGGTGCTGATTGCTCTCCTGAAGGACTAGGGTTGTGGCCTCCACAGGCAGTCTGGTGGTGTACAGGTATACATGCAGCCAAACTCACACATAAAATATAGATGAGAAAGCAAAAAGAAAAACCTCACAGCAACTTTTAAAATGGGGTTATTATAGCCTTCTACCCTGGCCTTACTTTGGGGCCTAGTCCTTTGGAGTTATGGAAAGACCTGGGGCTGGACACCAGGGAAGAGGTGAGCACATAGGCTGAGTTTACCTGTGTGACTTCAGGTCATGAACACAACTAACCTCTCTCTGTTCATGTGTCCCCACAGAACCTTTGACACTGTGCCAGGAGCAATGGCAGGGTCTGAACATTCTGGTTAGTGGCAGGTGGTGCTTGGGCACATAGAACCAGGTCCAACAGCACACTTAACCCTTTCTCTGCAGGCTCTGGGAGAGGTGAGAAGTCAGAGGCCAAGGCGGGGGCAGTGCCCAAGGTGTCAGGCCTGGAGCGCAGCCGTGAGCTCAGCACCGAGTCTTTCCTGCCTGCCACAGCACCTGCGCCCTCAGGACCTCCGCCAGGAGCTCCAGCCAGCCCCTTGGTGAAGAGGGAAGCCCCTATAGTACCTCACCACCTCCCGCAGCCACAGATCACCCCGCAGCATCGCGACTCACTCCCAGCACACGTGCCTCTGTCCTTGGGCGCCTTCGTGGGCCCTGGCTCTGGCCAGGTGGCACCCAACAGCCTACACAGCCTCAGGTGGGAAGTGGGTGAGACCATGTCCTGGGGTGGGGGCTATGACTTCCTACCCACCTCAGGACTGAGGGAGGCCCTGCTGGCCCTGGGAGGAGTGTGTGGCTATGGGGCAGCCAGGTTCTGAGAGAAAGCATGCCTCTGAGTCCTGTGTCCTACAGCAGGAACAGCAGCACGGTCAGCGGCACCCCTCTGGGCCTGACGAAACACGTGACACTGTCGCCGCACGGCCCTGGCCCCCACCTGTCTACCTCACACCTGGCGCTCAGGTCCCAGGCGCAGCACCAGCACCCCACCGCGGCAATGTTCGCTGCGCCCCCAACACTGCCCCCGCCCCCGGCATTGCCCGCCAGCAGCCTGGTCATCCCAGGACACCCCGCCGGTAAGTGTTAACACCCAGGGATGCATGCTTAACTTTGATGGGGTCCGGGGGCAAGACGGAAGAGTTGAAGATTCAGGGTTTGGGTCTTAGACGACTCGGGTCATATGCCTGCCTTTGCTGCTCCAGACCTCCAGAAGACCCCCAAGTGGGGCACACGTCGCTCCCCTTACTTCTGGCTGGAACCTTCATTAAGTTTTAATCTTTGAAAGATTTCTAAATGGAGTCAGCCAGCCATCCCGCAGAGGCAGGAACTCTACCTAGGGCAGTTATCCCAGCCCTGACCTTGGGCCGCGCACCGCGGGCTCACCGACTTCTCTCCTTGCCTCTAGATGCCAGCCTGTTGATCTCATTCAACCAACCAATCATGTATTGCCAGCCTCATTCGGGGATTCTGATTGGTACTTGGTCACAGGCTCCTCTCTTACCTCCACCCCTGGGCCCACACCTAGCGAGCGGCCACCACGGCTTGGCCTGCCGACCCCGGGAGTGCCAGGTGACTATCCGCCTCGCCCCACTGGGAGCCCGCGGCCGACGTGCCTCTCCGTCTCTCTCTCTTTTTCTCTTATAGATCACGAACTGCTCAGGCAAGAGCTGAACACGCGGTTTCTGGTGCAGAACGCCGAGCGGCCTGGCGCCTCCCTGGGCCCGGGGGCTCTGCTGCGGGCCGAGTTCCACCAGCACACGCACCAGCACACGCACCAGCACACACACCAGCACACACACCAGCACCAACACACATTTGCCCCCTTCGCGGGGCTGCCCCCGACGCCGCTCATGCCGCCCACCGCACCCTCGCCGGTGCGTAGGCCCAAGTGCTGGCTGCTGGCCGGGCGGGGCGGGGCGGGCTGGGTGGGACAGGCAACTGTACACTTAGACGCACGCTCATTCCCATGCACTTAGGCCCATGCTGGGTGTTGGACTGTGGGCCTGGGCTGGCTCCACTAGTCCTGGGTCTTAGGACTGAAACCAGGTCTGGACCCTAGACAGAACTGGGCTATGAGGACCAGTCCACTGCAGCTCTCTTGTGTGTCCATTAGTCCATGTCCACCTCGTGTGCAGCCATTTCCTCTCTTTGTCAGCAGCCTGGGTCATTCATCACTTTCCCATCCTACCTCCACAGCCAGGGCTTCACGCCTACTCCCCTACCTAGAGCCTTAGCTGGGTACACCCAGCTGAACCAGAAGCCTGGGCCCCATGGGGCCTGAGGCCAGTGTTCTCAAGGAGCCAGGTGACACCAGGTCACCTTCTTCAGAAAGCAGTACCATCCTGGTCACTGCCCAACCCAGCTGTAGGCGGGTTCTGAGCCAATGGAAGGCCTCACGCCTGTACAGGAAGCCTTACCTTTGCTTTCTTCCCTTGCAGTTTGACAAATTCTCACCCAAGCTGGACAGCCCCTACTTCCGACATTCCAACGTGAGTCCCTGTGCTCAAGTCCATCTTACTGTCTGTTTAGGGTGTGGGAAGCTCAGACTTTTCTGTGCTTCCTTCTGGGTACCTAGGGAGGGAGAAGCAGGGTTCAAGGGTCATAGCCCAGAACACTCTCTCTCGTAGCTCCTCCTGCCCTTCCTCCCCCCCACAGGCCCTGGGCTGCCCATCCTGCTTATACACCCTGGCCCCTTTGGGTCCCTGCAGGGTACATTTCAGCCCAAGGTACAACTGCTCCTGGTAGGGAGGTGACTGGCAGGTGGGTGGGTCTAGGGCATGAGGCAAGGCTACAAAGTAGCTCCAGTTTTTATTGCAATCTGGCCTCCGAATGAACGCCCCCTTCTGGTTGGGGGCCTGTTTGCAGTCAGAAAGCCTGTCCCTGAGCAGTACATGAGTTTGCCTACCTGACACAGTGTTCAAGCCTTACCCAGGAGGGAAGGTGCTGAAGAGCCAGGAGCTGAGTAGGAGAGGTTCCACGGCCTCTCCCTCCAAACAGGGAATGTGGGCCCCATCTCGCTTAAGCCCACTTATGTCCAAACAGCTCCCCAAGCCTCCAGGTTAAGGCCCGGGCTTGCTGCCTTCCCCTAGTTACTGCCTTAATCATGGTATGTAAGTGCTTCTCATGGTGAGGCAGTCCACTCTCCCAGGTGATGTCATTAGCCAGTCTTTCTGCCTTTTGACTAGGGGGTGGGGGTGGGGGTCCTGTGATGAGACTGATGTAACAGTGTGCAGGGTCCCACTGGTAGGCCAAACTACAACCACCCCAGAACTTGGGACTCCCGAGAGGCCTCCTGCTTCCTTCCTCCTCAGCATATGGGTTGCTAATGCTCTCTCCCTCTCTCCCTTGCACCTTCAGACTTCAAACTCAATCGAGATAACGGGCCGGGCCAGTGCGGTTCACACTTTGCTGCAGAAAGCCCCTGGGGTAGGTGTTGGCACTCACTCACATAGTTGGCAGCACACTGTCTCTCCTAGAGAGCCTGGACATGACCCATCTGTCCTTCTCACCACAGGTGTCAGATCCTTACCGGACAGCAGTCAGGGTGAGTGAGTGCATGTGGGGAGGAGGAGTTGGAAGCATACCCAGGGCTATGGCTGGGAAGGACTCCGGTTCTCTCCTGGGTGGCCTTGGGGTGGTCCCGATGGTAGAAATCTGGGGAAGATGAGGCCTGGGAAGAGGCGCTGGGCTCTCTGAGCACATCCCGGTCCTGCCACAGAAACCAGGGAAGTGGTGTGCGGTACACGTGCAGATCGCCTGGCAGATCTACCACCAGCAGCAGAAGATGAAGGTGAGGCCGGGCCAGGCGGGTGCACTGCTGGGGCCTCCCTGGTGGGGCCATTTGGGAGGACTCTAGGGTGTGTGATGAGAGGCTCTGTCCAGCTCCAAGGTTGCAGTGACGAGGACTCACGGAACTGCCTGGGAGGAACCTGGGTTGGGAAGACAGTGCAGAGGCCATGGATGAGGGCCACATGCATGTGCACAAGTGTCTGGAGGGCAGGTGGTGGGTGGGGCTGGGAGTGGGAGAGGGTCTTTACAGTCAGCACAGTCTGCAATACAGATGTTACCCATGACACCGCACCTTTGTGTGCAGCTGTAAAAATCATCTCCTAAAAGACCTTAAAGAAGTCACCAGAGAGGGACTCCTGAGAAAGAGTGCTATTTATATTCCAGTGCCCATGCTTAGGGGAGGTGGGTAGGTGCTGGCAGTGTGGGATTTCCAGGACAGGAGTGGTAAAATTTAGGGTCTGCCCACAGTGATCCCTGGTGAATACCTTTGGGAATAAGTAAATGCATGGTTCTTAATCAACTGAGATTAGTTTGTGACCCTGGTTGAATAGGCAGCTGTAGACATAGAAAGTCTACATGCCTCCCACTTGCTCCCACCTAGCACTGAGCACTCTACATGATGTGCAGACACCACCCTCACACACACTCAGTAACATACTGGGAGGAATGTGAGCCCCCAATTCCTGGCCATAGCAAGGTGTGGCAGGGCAGGTCATACAGGCGAGGGTAGAGGGACAAAGACCTTGTCCTTATGGTCTCCAGAGCCACAGGGCCACCTCTGAACACAGAGCCCTCAAGGGATGGGCAGCACAAAGGAGGACAAGCACCTCAGGTCTATATAATTTTAATAGAGTCATGGTTTGGGAGGGGTCTTGTAGTGTGTGTGTGTGTGTGTGTAAATGTGTGTGCATCTGTACATGCAATACATGTGTGCCATGGCATGCATGTGGAAGTCAGAGGACAATTTGTGGGAGATGGATCTCTCTACCATGTGGGTTCTAAGGTTTGAGCTCAGGTCCTCAGGCTTGCTGGCAGGAGCTATCTGCTAAGCCATCTTACAGCTATAGATTCCTGTTTCTAAACATAAATTGCATTGATGGAAAGCAAGCATGTTTGGAACAACTCAGGCCTATGGATATGCTTTTCCAACTGAATTTTGTGAAATCTAAATGAAGGTATTTTCTATGAAATGATATGAGCAAATATGCTGTTATTTGAAAAGCACACCAAAGCCACACATTAGTGGCGCATGCCTTTAGTCCAAGCACTCAGGAGGCAGAGGCAGACGGATCTCTGTGAGTTGAAGGCCAGCCTGGTCTACAGAATTAGTTCCAGGACAGGCTCCAAAACAATACAGAGAAACCCTGTCTGGAAAGAAAAAAAAAAAAGCACACCAATTGAAAGCTATGATATAAAGTGGAGTGGAGCGTGTCGTTGTGACTCCATGCATTGCGTACTGTAGTAAGGTTTTGGTTCTTCTGTCCCAGATGAAGCCCACTAAAACTGCCTTTCCTTCCCCTTATCTGGGGCTGCCAGAACATGGGCAGTTCCTCAGGAGGCGCCGCCAGTGAAGTGTCTGTGTAGTCCAGGCCACCAGTTGAGGCTTTACCTGGAGCAGTGGTCAAGCCCCCGCACACAGCCCTGGAACACACTCTGTCCCCTTGCAGATGCAGCTGGATCCTCACAAGCTGGAGGTTGGCACAAAGCTGGACCTGTTCAGCAGGCCTCCTGCCCCAGGCATGTTCTCTGGGTTCCACTACCCACAGGACCTGGCCCGGCCCCTCTTCTCCAGCACAGGTGAGACCAACAGTAGCTGGGATCAGGGGTCTGAGTGGGGTCAAAACATCTATTTTATCCTGTGTTGGGAGGAAGAAAACTCTCCAGGGCCCTTGCACAGTGTTCTTTATATCTACTGCTGGCCCCAGGCCTAAGTCCCCAAACTTCCCAAATCTAGCCCAAGTACCCTGGGACCCTGGTGCTAGTTCCTAAAGGTCCTAACCAGTGTACATCACCTGGGCCTCTATCCCACATTACTGGATGCTTGGTGACCTGGTCCCTCCTCATCATTGTGGGGGCCCTATCTTTTCTAAGCTCAACACATCCAGGACATGCAGGGAACTGTTCCCAACAACTGTGTCCCAGCTTTCCCTAAGTGCATGGCAGTGTAGCGTTATATGCTTTCAGCCCTGGGAACCCGGATGCCCAGGATTTATTGGGGACAACTACCTGACATGTATCCAAACCCCAGATAAAAGCGACTCAGTGTGAGGTTACATGAGTAAAGTCTAGACAGTGTGTGTGTGCACTTGGGGTCATAAAAGGAACTTCTTAAACTCAAAATCTGAACCTAGATAATTGGTAGAGACAGATCGAGGGCCAGCATCAATTTCAGGCCTTTCTGAGAATGTCATTTAAACCTGTGTATATGCATGCACACACGTACAAAAGACATATGTGGATGCTGTCTGCCTTTCCCTCTGCAGGATCCCTCTTCGTCCACAAGCAGGTCTCAGGTCTTTCTCCTCAGAGCCCCAGCTACCCTATTCCTTTTTTTTCTTTCTTCTTTATCCATCATCTGTCTGTCTGTCTGTCCATATATCTATCCATCTATCTATTTTTGTGGTTTTTGGAAACAGGGTTTCTCCATGTAACATTTTTGGCATCTGCTTTGTAGACCAGGCTGGCCTTGACCTCAAAGAGGTGTGCCTGCCCCTGCCTTCCGAGTGCTGGTATTAAAGGCATGTACCACTACCGCCCAGCCTACCCTAGTCCTTTTCATCCTCTTCCCACTTGGTATCCACTTGTAGGTGGACTAGGGCAAGTATGTTTTCATCTTCGTTAGCATGTTAGGCTAGCTAACAGAGCTGGCTCAAACCCTATAACATACCTTTATTGCTCTGCAAGGTGTCATGTTCTGTAACTGGTCTCTCCTCCATGCTTCAGTCCCTATCTTAGATGATCATTACCTTCTCTGCACTCCCCAAAGTTCTCTATTTCTTAAACCTGCCTAGTGTCCACCAGACATCTGATATGTTATGTTTTTACTGGGATTGAGTTGAGATGACCTGAAAAAGGAAACTCATTCCTTTCGGCTATCATCTTCTAACCCACCAACAAGGTGTTTAGGAGTTACAGAAGCATCCTCTGGGTGTTTTGTTTCTTTCTCATTACTCATTTAAAATTTATTTAGCTAGAAAATAAAGGGTGTATCCAAGACTATGGACCCAAGACCACCTGCCTCCCTTGGGTTAGCCAGGATCATTTTTAGCTCCCGTTTTAAACCCTGGAGTAACTAGCCTGGGGATCAGTCCTATTACGGCTCACCCACTTGGGCCTTCCCTCCCCATTTTTACCCACATCTTGGCTTCCTTCTCTGGGAAAGTGAGGGAGCTCTACTACAGTAGGTACCACTGCCACTGCCCCTGTCCACCTTGGGGCCTCAGATCTAGGATACAGGCTGAATTTCCACCTCATGGTCTAACCATACACCTGTCAGTAATGCAGAGGTGAGCGAATGGGAGAGAGAGGCTCCCAAAGTAAGCTGGGGTGGTCCACCTGTGACCCCACTACCAGAGGCAGGGAGTCCCAGGTCTGGGGGACTCTTATCAACCTGGCTACCCTCCACCTAGGTGCCACTCATCCAACCGCCAACCCATTTGGACCCTCAGCTCATCATGGCAGCTTCCTGTCCACTGGTCATCTGACAGGTAGGTGAACTGAGAAGCCTGGGTGGCATCTTCCACAGACCTCAAGGCTAGAAGGATGTGAATGGGTGTGAAGGAAGACCACATCCTCTTGGATCAATATGGGTGGCAGCTGTCCAGACTAAGAAGCTTCTGGGTCACCCTTTTAGACTGGGGCAGGGTGGAAGCCTTGCGGATTCCTGACCCCTTGTTGCCCTCCCCTCACACACACCCCTCCCTCCCCGCAGACCCCTTCAGCAGATCCAGCACCTTTGGAGGCTTGGGGAGCCTGAGCAGCCACGCTTTTGGAGGTCTTGGGAGCCATGCACTGAGTGAGTAACTGACCACATCCATTCCACTGCCCCTGACCCTCCTGTCTGTCCTGCACGTTTAACCTCCCTCTAGGCTAAGGCTTCTTACAGCCTGTTAGGGTTGGGCAATGCACAGTGTTGAGGAGCATCTTGCCAACTCACTCCTGGCCCTCTGTCCTTATCTCCCGATTCAGCACCAGGGGGTAGCATCTTTGCCCCCAAGGAGGGCACAGCTTTACTTGGCCTGACCAGCCCCCATGACACCTGGAACCGGCTGCACCGGGCACCACCTTCCTTCCCCACCCCACCCCCATGGCCCAAGCCAATGGATACAGAGCGCTTCTCAGCCCTGACCAACCACGACCGAGAGCCTGACAAGAGCCAGGAAGAGCATGAGCGGTGAGTTCATCTGGCCCTGAGACCTCTTTACCTGTCTAGTCTGTTAGACTGGGATTGATCAAAGAAATGACACTAAAATAAAAGGCTGACAACTGTCCTTACCTCTCCGTGGGAGTGCAGACTGCATGCAGACACAGGGTGGATTAGAGGTTTTATAGAGCAGAAAAGGGAACTTTGAGGTGGGAGATTCCATCTTCAGATCTATTCCCTTTCCGTCTCAAAGCTGTAAATACCAACAAAGGGCCTAGGCTTCCTGGTTGTCAGTTCAGTCTCTGTGAACCCCTATCAGCCCAAGTTAGTTGATTCTATGGGTTTTCTTGTAGTGTCCTTGACCCCTGTGGCTCCTACAATCCTCCTTCCCCCCTCTTCTACAGAATTCTCCAAGCTCTGCCTAGTATTTGGTTGTGGGTCTCTGTATCTGTTTCCATCAGTTACTGGGTGAAGATTCTTTGATGACCATTGGGTTAGGCAATCTATGAGTATAGTAGACTATCATTAGGAATCATTTCATTGACTTTTCTTTTAAAGATGGCTTTCAATCCCAAGATGGAAGCAGGCTGATTCATCCGTAATTTAACATAAAAGGGATACAGTGATTCCCCAGAGGACTTAGTAGTACAGAATTTTACAGATGCTGTTTGTTTATTTGCTTGTTTTTGATGCCACGTGCTATATTAACCAAGATTGTGGCAAGGTCACATGGCATTTGCCTTCTTTATGATATCATTAGATGGTGACCATCTCACATGGTTGCTTCCAGCTAAGATGGCAGCAAACCACACGATTCCTTTCTGTTGGCGAGCTCAGCTCCTTGCAAAGTGAGTCCATCCTCCACCAGAGCACAAGTCCCTGTGGAACCCACCATCTCCCAGTTCAAATGTGGGTTATACCCTTTTCTTTAAGAAGACACCTCAGTTAATATGGATGGATACAGGAGGAGGTGGTATCTATGGCCTAAGAGGCAGGCCCAAAAGCCAAATAAACAGGAAAGAATGCCATAGTCTCAGGTGGAGGAAACAGAGTTCATAGGTAGCTTAGCTAACAGAGAGATCACAGCCTGACTTCTCAGAGTTGCTTAATAGACAAGAAAAGGAAAAAGAGGTAAAGGTGCTTGTTTAAAAAACGTTTGTCTCCAGGTGGAAAGTAACTTCTGAATCTCCCTAAGGATGTCACCAGCCCAATTTCAGGATGGGGAGGGGTACCAGGCTTCCATGCAATTCTAATGTGGGCCAGACATGTCCTCAGTCCCAGTACTCAGAAGGCAGAGGCAGGAGGATCTTTGTGAGTTTGAGGCCAGCCTGGTCTACAGAGCTAGTTCCAGGACAGCTAGGGCTATATAGTGAAACCCTGTCTCAAAGGAATAAAAAAGTTTGAGCTCATAACAGCTGATGTGCAAAAATGGAGAAGTGTAGGGAATGGCAGGAGTGGAGGTAGCCAGAGGCTTGCAGAGCTCCTGCCCTTCTGTCTTCTGAAGTCTCTTGAGGGAGTGAGACGTTAAAAGCCAGTATTATCCAGTTTGTGTTGGGTCCAGACCTCAGTCAACAGACTTTCTATTGTCTTCAGGTTTAAGGCAAGCCAAAAGTGTGTAGAATGGAAATCTTGTACCCTATGTTAGGCCAGGTAAGTGTGGAACTTGTTTCTGCTAATAAGGGGTCACCTACAACTGGAGAATGACTGGAAGCAACTGACCAGGGCCTGTACCAGGCCTCCCCAATTACAGTAACCTAGTGCTGGAGCTAAAGTCCATACCCAGGGACAGGTGGACTCTTGACAGCCTGTCCTCATGGGGGTCCGTGAGACAGCTGATCTGAGGTCAGGTCAAAGCCATGCACTGGGGGCCCTGCTTGGGTGAGGGCTACCCTACAGATCACTTTCACAACAGCAGAAGCTGTTTGGAAAGAAGAACTTACAAGGGAATAAAGGTATAAAGCAGATGTGTGGGTCAGAGTACCCGGAACTTAGGATGTCCTCGGGCCTACACATGTGCTGCGGCCCACAGTCAGCACCGAGGATATAATTGAAGGTAGGATGAGAGATCAGGGCTCTCCATGGGAGGCAAAGGCTCCCACAGCAGGCACACACTCCTTAGGATGCTCTCCGAGGTCCCTGGTCAGGCTCTGGGGCCTCTGTCCTGCACGTGGGCCAAAGGAGCAGGGTCCTTTGCCTTGTGAGAGCAGAGTTGGCCAGTGTGACAGACTCATCTAGGTGAGCCCTGGGCTTCCCCATACTATGAGCAAATTCCCCATACTATGAGAAGGGCCTGCTGTAGGCACAGCTGGGGACCCTACCAGAAAAAGTGGTTGTAGAGGAGGGTTTTCAGGGTCCTCTCCTCGCCCTATGGTGGCATTATCCTTGCCACAGGACCCTCAAGAGCCCAAGGGCAAGTGGCCCAACCTAACCCTGAACTCTATAGCTGGTCTTGAACCTTTCAGTCTTCCAGTCTAAGCCTCTCAACTGCAATAACGGGCCTGCATTACTAGGCTAGTGCTGAGGGTATTTAATTAAGGCAGATAGCCAGCCGCCTGTGGTTAAATCACCAGAAAGCAACTGCACACCCCTGAGCCTGAGAATGTTTACGTTTTGAGCAGGGAATTCCAGGGTTGGGGCAGTCATGTTGCCTTGCCTCCCCAGCCCCAACTCCCAAGTGGGAGAACTCGAGCAATTTGCCATCCTGCAGCCACTCAGGGCAGTATAGAGAACTGTAGCCAAAAACCGAGGAAGGAATGTGTCAGCTGGGGTACTTCTAACCCTGGACAAGCCCTGGAGCCCGGGATACAGAGGCTCCACACAGCAGGAATCTTGAGGTCCCAGGAACTTCACAGCTTTCTAGGAGCTATAGCTGCTGTAGGTGATAGCCCTATCCTATTGTCCCCAGGGACCTCCTGGAGAAGACGCGCCTGCTGAGCCACGCCTCACCTGCAGCACCAGTGGGCCACCCCATCAGCAGCCTCCTGCAGCGGGGCCCCAGCGAGCTGGGCCGCCCTGGGATCCTCACAGAGCGAGAGGCTGAGCCTCGGATCAAGGAGAGCCACTCACCTGGCAAAGAGGATGGCGCCAAACTGGCCGTGCGACCTCCATCTCCCTATTGCAAGGCAGCCCTGGGTGACTGCTTGCGCCTGGCAGGCCTGTTGGGTCGGGAGTCCGGGAAGCAGACGCCTGAGAGGCCTCAGGGCGACGTGAAGGTAAAAGAGGAGCGCAGGGAAGACGAGACACCGGAGCTCATGGGCGTCAGTGTGCACTCCACGGCCACACACATGGGCCTGGGCACGTCGGGCTTCGTGTGGGACCCGCCGCGTGACTCCTACCGGAGCCTAGAGCTGCCTCGTCGCGCCTTTCCCGCCCCGCCGCCCGCTGCGGGCCCCGCTCCCTTCGAGCTCTCTGAGCGCGCCTATCGCGACCGCGAGCCTCACGACTACAGCCCAGAGCGCCTGAGGGAGGTGCGCCGGGAGGAGCTGGAGCACGCGCACGCGCACGCGCCCGACCCAGACGCCGCCGCGCTGTTGCCCGCAATGCACTACCCGCGCCTGGCCCCTGGCGCGCTGCATGGTGCGCTCCTGGCCCGGACCCCGCCGGCTGCCGCCGCACTTGGTGCGCCTCCTCCACTGGTGGCTGCAGGAGGAGTGTCCACGCCACCTGCGCGCCCCAGGACGACGCCGCTGGCGCTCGGACCTGGCGAGGGGCGCGACTACTCGCCAGCAACGTGCAACCCGCCCGAGGTGGAGGCGCGGTAGTCCCGGCATGACGGACTGGCTCACTTGAATTCCTGGGACCTGAGCACGCACAGGAGCAGCACAGCTCGCTGCAGGCTGCAGCTTGCATAGTCGAGAACTTTAAGCTTTCTGGGGGTGACTTCATTTTCCGAGCTTGCGATTAGGTCACTGGGAGAAATTTAGCTTTGTACCCCCCCCCACAGGTGACAAGCATTTCTAATGGTTTTGTATTTTTCTTAATTTTGTGCTCTAACATTTTAAAGAACCAAAAAAAAAAAAAAAGAAAAAAGAAAAAGAATTTTTAGTTGGGATTTACAGTTGTTTCACTTCTCAGATCCCATTTGAGCCCCAGAGTTTGTCTTATTTATGGAAAGAAACGGTCTTTCTGTCAGCGCACTGTGAGGCTCCGCACTCAGGCCCGGCTCTGGCCTTCCCTTGGTACTTGGAACCGAAGTTACAGATATATATATATGTATGTATATTAAAATAATAATTAATAATAATGTACAAAACTGGTTTTTCTGCCTTATTCTATTATGCATAGATGTAAGAGGATTTCTTTGGTTTGTTTTTTTAGAAAAAAATGTAAATATTCTGTTGATATAATTATAAAACTTATTAAATTCTTAACCTGGACAGTCTATAACAAGTTTCTAGAAACCTCTCTGGTTATTTGTGTACATGGTCACAAAAGCCCACTCTGTGGCTGTTAGTTGTGAACACACTCAGCAACAGCGACTGTCCTTCAACTATGCAAGCCTCGCAGGCAGGACAGGATGTTTTAAGGGGAGAAGGATCTGAGCTTCCTGTCAGGGTGGTTGGACCTCCCAGAGAGCCACACTTCTGGGCATCTGCTGAGGATCACTGTGGACTTCAGGACTGACTCTAGTTACAAGGACAAACCTGTGCCCATGTGCTAACCTTAGTGCAGTGTTCTCTGGATCTGCATAAGCCAGACAGAATCTTAGAAGTTGGTTCCGGGAAAAAGATTGGTTTTCTTCCTCCTACACCGGCATCTGTCTGTCTGGGTGTTGCCCTCCCCACTACCATTCCCAGCACTAAGACTATCATAGCTCCTTAGCTTTGGGTTTTGCATTCATACTCTCAAGCCTTTCCCATGTGTTGTCAGCTTGTCCCTTTTTGGTTTCTTGACCACCACTTTTGTGCCTAATCAAGCTTCAGCACCCCTGTCTGCTTTGTTCAATTCCTCCCTCCCAGCCCTGTGATTCCACTGTGAACTCTGGTTATTTTCAACAGTCTTTTCATGTCAATCAGCAGTGATAAATACAGCCTTGATTTGGATGAAATGTGGTCCAGTGTCTTGTGTGGCTCTGAGGCAGGTTATCTCACTATATCTGTCCCTGGGATATGAGGCTCTCCTGAGACAGTGTGGGGCTGGCAGCCCTTGCAGCTCATCACCCCCTTTGTTACCCCTGGGGCTGTGCTTTCGTGGGTGGCACTTCTGCCACACCCGCCCCCTCCCTATCTGCATGGAAGGATACTGACCTTACAGGTTGGTCCAGGTGACCCATGAACCCTAACCATGCTGACTACAGCAGCCCATATTGCCAGAGTTCGCCAGACTTTCTACATGGAACCCTGAGTTCTCACTTTTTGTGCATGAGGCTTGCAGTTCCTAGGAACATGTTACCACATGTGGGTGTATGCGATTCCGACTGTTTAGCACCACACAGAACAGGTTAACCCTTTGCCCCGTAAATGAAGACTTAGAATGCCTGGGTAAGAGGTAGCCAGTGGCCTTGTTTCACCTTTGTGCCCATACAGATGAAGCTCAGGACCCACCTGCACATCTGACTCTTGTAGCTTTCACTAAGTTTGGAAGTGAAGTCTTAATGAGGTCACCTTGCTGAGCAAAAGGACTGGTGACAGGACACCAGTAGGATTCCACCAGAGTCCTTGCCTTAAAGCAGCTGCATCACAGAAAATCTTAACCATGTAGAGCTGCACAGATGGACCTTCCCCAGCTAGTATGCTTCAGCACCTCCCTAACCCCTGGGTGCCATGTCTGGGTCCATGGCCTTATTGCAGCCAGGGTCTGTTGCCACTCAGGGCCATGTGGATATCATGTGGTCTGGGCTGTCACCTGAAGCCATGTTGATATCTGAAGGTCATGCTGGGCTGGCCCTGCCCCTCGATGACCTCAGCAAGAGGAAAGCACCAGTGTAGAAAAGCTGGGTGGGAGTTGTGGAGGAAGGGTAAACTGACCAACTCAGCTACCATCCAGCCGTTGACTTGGCTCACCCAACACCTACCCCATCTCTGAGCTGCTGGAGCATGTGAAGGGGCCGGTCATTCGGAACCATAGCCTCAGGATCTCTATGGCTGTATGGCAACAGCAAGATAACCAAGAGGAATTTTGGTGAGGGTCTAGTATTGATGGTGTAGTAGAAGCCAGAGGCCTTGAGCCAGATAGATGACTCATTGCAATGAACATTTCCAAGTAAAGCTGTCTAGGCAAAAAGGTTTACTGAATGACACTGCAGCCACCACAGCAAACGAGTATGAGAGGCAGGAAAGACAGAAGGGCAGAGTGGTGTATTGGTGTTGGAATGGGAGAAGTAACAGCAGTGACAGGTGTGAGGGAAGGCTGCAGTCGGTAGAAGAGCAGGTTATTGTTTCTGTTCTAATCTTAATTTTAATTTTTTATTTTATTTTGGGGGAGGGTAGAGGGCAGATATGGAAGGACTGGGAAATGAGTGGGATTAAAAGGAAAAAAGAACACTTTGCCTCCCAAGTGAGATCACATGTTCCTTTAATCCTAGCAGAAGCAAAGGAAGGTGGATTTTTGTGACAACATAGCATGTTCCAGGCCAGCCAGGGCTACACAGTGACACCTTATCTTTTCTTTTTTTTCTTTTTTTACATCTTCTGCCAGAACCCTGACTGGGGTAGGATTGGGAGCTGCTCATAGGGTCCTATTCAAATGCCACAGGACTGCCAGGGCCTTGCAAAACCACTTCAAGAGACCACCGCAACAGGTCAAGGGTGCCGTTTAGCTAAGATCATCCACGTGTCTAAGGGGCTCATGTGGATGACTACTCTGTGACAGCCAAGGGACGCATTTCTTCAAGGCCTGAGCAAGGGAAGAGTGACTCCAAGCTCATGCAAGGCCCTCATGTGTCCTTTCCACATCCTGGCACCTCATTAGTGTGGTGTTGGCTCTTAGGTAGGACATTCCTTTCTGGAGTGGAGTGTCATCTATGAAGATGATTGCCTTCGATGGACAAGACTCATGGTACCTTCTGCTGCTCAGGCATCTCTTTAAAAGCCTGGGCCCAGTGAGTGTCCTTGCAAGGAGGACACAGCACAGCTGGTGATGACCTTTTGCAGGAAGTGCATCATTATTATGTTACTGGAATTAGGGATTTTACAACAGAACTCTAATTCAAGGCAAGTCTGGACATGCCCAGTCAGGAGAAACAGGGAAACAGAACTGTCCCACACCACACTCCACAGCTGCCCATGCCATGTGTGACTCTTGCTCTCACTGACCTGCCAGCAGCTGGCCTCCAGCTCACAGCCTCCTCAGCAGCTACCAGACACCAACTGTGTGAAGGTAAAGGAGTCATGGGGCTGGGCTAGGTCGAGTAAAATGTCACTGGGAGGGGACAGACCTCATCTTGGATCCAGTGGGCATCAGCAAAGGCAAGAGACCTCTGAAAGAAACTGCAGTCTGTATGAAGCAATTGATGCTGGAGCAGAAGACTGCTCTCTTAGAAGTGGAGATGTGAGCTCTATCAGTACTCCTCCAGTGGCTGCAACTGCATGAAATCACCCCCAAACAACACCATTTTACTCCTTCACTGTGAGTGAAGATTGGAAGTCTGCCCCAGCTATAAAACTCCCCAAGCCTCTGAAGTGGGCTGGGGCTACAAAGCTCTGAGTAACTTCCCAGTTTGCCTTTCTGAAACGTGAGCATCTTGCCTCATTGTATCTGATAAACTCACAAGCTCTTTGTCATTGTTTGTGTAATTCACTGCTGCCTGGGGGCTTTCCTCACTCGTCAATAAGTAGATTTTTCATCCTCAGTCACGGTAGGCTCTAAACTTGTAGCAAGAGGGACCCTTGGTTGCCTCCAAGACCAAGCCTTGCCTTCTTGTGACCCGAGAACTTGGGCTCTTGTGATAACCCCCACAGGACAAGTCAATGGCCATGCTAAGCTGTGGTCTGTGATGCTAAAAGTAGACAGACTTCAGTCTTCCCTGACATGAATAAAACATGTGCTGAGCAACAGCCACCCCCATTTTCCACCACCGTATTATTAAAACCATAAAGCACTTCTGAGGTTCAATTGACCTGGGCAGGCTCTCCAGGGACCAGCAAAACCCAGCCTGCAGCATCTTGAAACAGCCCACTGGTTCTTACTTTCCATAAACCAAGCTTCTGTCTCGACCCTAGGAATCACCTCCCCAGCCAACCTTCACCCTGATCTCTGGCTCCAGAGATCCAATGCCAGTGGCGATGTTGTCTTCAGAGGCTTCCAGCCTGGGGTTCCACAGAGCTGTGACCCACCTCCTTCCTGTGTTTGTTTTACAATCCCCTTGGCTTAAGCTGCAGCTATTCAGCAGGAAAAACAAGCCTTACAGAGCAGAATGGGCACAAGGGGAGTCTGCTCCACCACCGCCTGGTTCTGGAGTTTTTTTGTTTGTTTGTGTTTGTTGGTTTTTGTGTGTGTGTGTGTGTGTGTGTGTGTTTGCCTCCTGAGTGCTGGGATTAAAGTCGTGTGCCGCAGCCACCGGCTTGTTTTGTTTTGTTTTTTCTGAGCCAGGTGCATTCCTGCCTGCCAAAGTGTTTCTGCTCTGGCAAGGCCACAGCACCATCTCGTGGCTGTCTTTGGAACAGCAAGGGTCTTGAATTGGTTAACATTCACTAGAGGTAATTTCCTTTTTCCTTCCTTCCTTCCTTCCCTTCCTCCCTCTTCCCTCCCACCCTCTTTCTTCCTTCTTTCTTTATTTCTTCTTTCTTTTTTCCTTCTCTTTCCCCTTCTCTTTTTTCTTTCTTCCCTTCCTTCCTTTCTTCCTTTCATTTCTCCCCTCTTTCTTTCTTTTCTCTCCTAGGAAATAAAATGTCCTAGAAATGTCAGCAATTTTTAAAAATTTAAAAATTCCATATTACCACTTTGAACTTATACATTTAGTTTGTCTTATAGTAATAAAGTTTAAACAGTTTGTCTTATAGTAATAAATACTTTAATATTAAGTTAGTAACCAAAAGTCATCTTATTTTATTATTTTATAGTTCTGGGGTTTGATCTTACAGCCTTGAGCAGGCCAGGTTGGCCGCATTCTGTCCTTGAACCATTTTCTTAAAGAAAGATACCAACATCTCAAATTCTTTTTTTTTTTTCTCTCTCTCTCTCCTCCAAAGATTTATTATGTATACAGTGATGTATTCCTACTTGCCAGAAGAGGGCATCAGATCTCATTACAGTGAGCCACCATGTGGTTGCTGGGAATTGAACTCAGGACCTCTGGAAGTACAGCCAGTGCTCTTAACCTCTGAGCCATCTCTCCAGCCCCCAACTTCTCGAATTCTTTTGGTGATCCCAACCGCAGCCTTGTTCATAGTATCACCTCTATACTCCTCAGCAATGCACAGGGAAAGTCAGAGATGGGCACACGACACTTA